GAAACTGTGACTGTAGCAATTACGAAGAATGAGGAAAAAAGGAGTTGAAATTTTTTAAATTTATTCAGGGTGTTACAAATGATTTCTATAAATAGAATATTTTAGGTTTCCATGGATTTTTTGCGACTTTTTTTTGCTCTTTAGTTTTTTATCGTAAGTAGTTACAAAGAAATCGTTTTAATGAGTTGTTACATTTAGTAAAAGGGGGAGATTGATGGAACTAAACTGTATAAGGGAGAAGACCCTTCTCATTAAAATAATCTTTGGAATTAGATAGATAGATAGATAGATAGATAGATAGATAGATAGATAGATAGATAGATAGATAGATAGATAGATAGATAGATAGATAGATAGATAGATAGATAGATAGATAGATAGATAGATAGATAGATAGATAGATAGATAGATAGATAGATAGATAGATAGATAGATAGATAGATAGATAGATAGATAGATAGATAGATAGATAGATAGATAGATAGATAATAGATAATAGATAGATAGATAGATAGATAGATAGATAGATAGATAGATAGATAGATAGATAGATAGATAGATAGATAGATAGATAGATAGATAGATAGATAGATAGATAGATAGATAGATAGATAGATAGATAGATAGATAGATAGATAGGAAGGGAAGAAGACCCTTCTCATTAAAATAATCTTTGGAATTAGATAGATAGATAGATAGATAGATAGATAGATAGATAGATAGATAGATAGATAGATAGATAGATAGATAGATAGATAGAAAATAATCTTTGGAATTAGATAGATAGATAGATAGATAGATAGATAGATAGATAGATAGATAGATAGATAGATAGATAGATAGATAGATAGATAGATAGATAGATAGATAGATAGATAGATAAATAGATAGATAGATAGATAGATAGATAGATAGATAGATAGATAGATAGATAGATAGATAGATAGATAGATAGATAGATAGATAGATAGATAGATAGATAGATAGATAGATAGATAGATAGATAGATAGATAGATAGGGAAGGGAAGAAGACCCTTCTCATTAAAATAATCTTTGGAATTAGATAGATAGATAGATAGATAGATAGATAGATAGATAGATAGATAGATAGATAGATAGATAGATAGATAGATAGATAGATAGATAGATAGATAGATAGATAGATGGATAGATAGATATACTTTTCAAACTCTCCCCCAGAATACAACCGCTAACATTTTCAAATCCTTGATTTTGTTCATCCAAACTTTTTTTCCCTAAGTTCTTCAAACTATTTTTTGTGTTTCTACACTATAGTTCTTGTTGTCATTTTACTTTTTTATATGAATTTCAAAAGCTTTATTTAGTTCACATGCTTGTATAAAAGGAAAAATTTGCATTTTTCAACGTCCATCTCATCATCGTTGTCATCAATGGCAGCAGCAACATCCTCATCAGAGCTCGTCAACTCTATATCATTCTCTGGTCGGGTTCGTCATCATCATTGTTATTTTCATTGTGTGTATTCTGTTTGCTTTTTAGACGTTGTTTTTCTTTTAGTTCCGTTTTTTGTTTTTTTTTTTTCCTATTTTTGGTAAAAACCTTAAATGTTCTACAAAACTATTTCAATCAGTTTGCAAAATAATACGGGTTGACATTAAGTAACAAAAACACCATTACGACAAGCAGTGGAAGCAGTAAAAACCAGCAACAACTATATACATTAAACATAAAAAGTGAAAGATTTAAAAATTTCGGTTTGTTTCCCATCACTTTTTTATAATATGTAAATGTTTCATTTTGTGATTTTTTTTTTACCCACTTTTTCTCTATTAGCATACTTTAAATATTCGTTTATTCCATCGTATCTGCATAAAATAAATTTAAATTATGTTCAAAAATAGAAAAAAAACCCAACTAAAGGTTGATTCCTGCTAAAAGTTTTAAGTAAATTTGGATATTTTGTGTGTGAGTGTACTAGTTGTTCTGCTGTAGTGGTGGTTCCTCTTGCCAGTTTACCTTTCATAAATCATTATTGTTCATAAGTTATGAGTGTATGACATGTCAATAGATGTGTTGATGAGTTTGAAAAGTGCGAAATCGTGTCATAATGCCTGACATCAGACACGCAAGAAAAATTTTTCATTTCATTTTCATGTTTTTCCGTTTTTTCAAAAAAGAATAATTTTCTTTATTGAAAACTTTTATCTCTCTATAGTTTAGTCATGTTTTTAGCAAACTATAGTTTATTGTGTTTTATGTTATGGTGTGTGTGTGGGTCGGTGTGAAATATCATTTGATGGGGAAATTTCTTCAAACTCAAAGGTTAAAGTTGAATTTGTTCAGGTTATAATTTATTAACTGCCAGTGGGATGCGAACAAAACTTGGCAATCGATGAGATATACATTTATAATCAAATAATAAAGTTCAAAATCTTTATAGTTTTTTTATGGACTGATCTTTAGTCAAGACTATAGAACTGTTTATAGGTTTAAGATCATACTATATTCTTGACAAAAGATCAATATTTGTTCTTAATTATAGATCGATGTATAGTCTTGACTATATATCAATCGATAATCTTAATTAAAGATCAATATTGACTGTAGAACAGTCTTGATAGTTCAGATTTTAGATTTAGAAATATACACGCCTGGTACCAAATTTGTTTATAATTTTTCAATACCATCCGTTGTCAAAGTATATACATACATACATACGACAACACTATGTAATGTTGACAACATTGCAACAATTCGTTGTCGAAATCTAAATTTTATACACATCCGTTGTCTAAATGTTAACAAACGTGGTGAGCTCACTATTGACAAACAATCCGTTGCCAATAGTGAGCTTATCACGTTTGTTAACATTTAGACAACGGATGTGTGTAAAATTTTTAAAATAGTGTTGTCGTACGTATGTATATACTTTGACAACGGATGTTATTGAAAAATGATAAACTCTTTGTCTTTGTGTGTCAATTTGGTACCAGGCGTGTATATTTCCTTTTCCCTCTGTGTATAGTCTGATCTTAACTAGTGATCAGTCCATTGGCTTTACTACTGATCAGTCTAAAGTATTCACCACATATCTGTAGATCTGTCTATAGTCCTGACTATATCAATAGACTTGTAGTTCTCACTTAGTATCAGCTTGTAATCTTGGCTATGGATCAATGTTAATCTCACTCACTGACCAGTTCCAACTATAGATCTATATATATCTTAACTGTTGATTGATCTATCGTCTTAACTTAAGATCAGGTATATTCATGACTATAGATCTTGACTTTAGTTTAGTCTGTAGTCTTGACTATAGATCTCGAATTTGATCTTCATTATAGATCAAATTATAATCATGTCTTAATATCTGATTATAGTCTTGCTCTATATGACTATAGCTTAAATATAGATCAGTCTATATTAATGACTATAGATTAGTTTATAGTTTTGAATATAGACCAATCTATAGTATTGACTAAACATCGATCTGTTTAACCAACTAAAGATCCATGTCCATATGCACTCCATAGTATTGACTATTTTAGTCTTAACTTTTTGACTACAGATCAGCATGTAGTATTGACTACAGATCAGTCTGTAGTATTGACTACAGATCAGTCTGTATTATTGACTACAGATCAGTCTGTAGTATTGACTACAGATCATTCTGTAGTATTAACTACAGATCAGTCTGTAGCATTGACTACAGATCAGTCTGTAGTATTGACTACAGATCAGTCTGTATTACTGACTACAGATCAGTCTGTAGTATTGACTACAGATCAGTCTGTAGAATTGACAACAGATCAGTCTATAGAATAGACTACAAATCATTCTGTAGTATTAACTACAGATCAGTCTGTAGTGTTGACTACAGATCAGTTTGTAGTATTGACTACAGATCAGTCTGTAGTATTGACTACAGATAAGTCTGTAGTATTGACTACAGATCAGTCTGTAGAATAGACTACAGATCATTCTGTAGTATTGGCTACAGATCAGTCTGTAGTATTGACTACAGATCAGTCTGTAGTATTGACTACAGATCAGTCTGTATTATTGACTACAGATCAGTCTGTAGTATTGACTACAGATCAGTCGACAGTCTTGGCTATTGCTTAGTTATAGTCTAGACTATAGATCGTTTTATGATCTTGCATATACGACTGTTATAGACTTCACTTCAGATTTGTTTATAAATTTGTTTACAAGGTTCCAAAATATTTCCAAATGAAACACTTTTCTAGATCACTGTACGTATGATTTATAAAATTTCATTTGAATACCCAAAATATTACTCATACGCCTACAAACTTAAATATTTATGGATGAAATGAAATGTTATTATAACAATAATTTTTAAAGTGATTAAAATAAACAACTAATTAAATAATGATTAATGCATGTTCTCTCTTTTATCTTTATATACTTAATTATATCTCAGATTCGCAATTCAAAAAAAGTAGGTTGATGAGTTGTGGTAGATAGAGAGATGAAAGATTAAACGATTGACGAAATGAATACATGAGATTATGAAAAATTTAACGCTTGCATAATCTTTTTATTATTGAAATTTATAAAAAAAATAAATTATGTCTTTTTCTCAATTTCTTTCTTCAACGGAATGTGTAAAAGAAAAAAATAAAGATAAAAGTGTACAAAGTAGATTTTTATATTATAATAAGCACGTTTTGTTATACTTTTATGAATAAAATTGTTGAACCTCTTTAAAGTTCTATTTTATATTGTTTTGATTGTCTGCGAATAAGTTAGTTTGTATTGGGGCAGAGGGGCAAATGGATGAGGCAAATATAACTGGTTGTTTGACTTTAGTTATTGAAAGACTACCATCCCAACCAAGTAGATACACTTTAGAGGGCACTAACCAAACAAACATACTTGAAAATTATAGTTTCTTTCTGTCTTCTCTTCTATTTTTTTTATTACAACTACAGTCGCTAGAATGTAAATGAATGGGTTAAATGTCGATGATTCTACAAAGATAAATATATATATTTTTTATTCTTTCTTGTTTATTGCCTTTAAGTATTCTTATTAGAAATAATAATAAGCAAGAAATATGATAAAATATTGTAGTTTTCTTATTGAGGTTTATTACAAGATAAATAAATATATTTTTAATTTGTATGTGGTATTTTTCTTTTTTTCCTTTTAGTCTTGAGAATTTATTTAGTTAGATAATATTGTTGCTTTATTAACAAATAGTTATGTTTTATTATATAAATTATATTTTAGAATTTTGCTTTTCATTTTAAGCAAATAAATAGAAAGTAAATATAGAAATTCTAGAGAAACACTTTATTAATTAGTTTTTCTGTTTATTAAGGCATTTTTCTATTAATTAAAGAAAGTATGTACTCTAATCTGTTTAATAATTCAATTAAAAGTTGTTTAATATTTGCATTTACACTGGTAAAATAATTAAGAAAAACACTGAAAGTTATTTAGATTCAGTCCAAAACTAGTCACTTAGATCATTCAATAGTCTTGACTGTAGATCAGTTTATAGTCTTGACTATAGATCAATTTATAGTCTTGACTATAGAATATTTTACAGTCTTAACTATAGATCAGTTTATAGTATTGACTATAGATTAGTCTATAGTCTTAACTATAGATCAGTCTATAATCTTGACTATAGATCAGTCTATAGTCTTGACTATGGATCAGCCTATAATCTATAGTCCTAACTATAGATCAGTCTGCAGTCTTTACTATAGATCAGTCTATAGTTTTGACTGTAGATCAGTCTATAGTCTTGACTATAGTTCAGTCTACAGTCTTTACTATAGAGCTGTTTATAGTCTTTACTATAGATCAGCCTACAGTATTGACTATAGATTAGACAATGGTCTTGACTATAGACTAGTCAATAGTCTTGACTATAGATCAGTCTATAGTCTTGACTGTAGATCAGTCTACAATCTATAGTCTTAACCATAAATCAGTCTACAGTCGTTACTATAGATCAGTCTATAGTCTTTACTATATAGTACATAGATTAGTCTACAGTCTATATAGTATATAGATTAGTCTACAGTCTTAACTATAGATCAGTCTATAGTTTTGAATATAGATCACTCTGTAGTCTTGACTGTAGATCAGTCTATAGTCTTGACTATAGTTCAGTCTACAGTCTTTACTATAGAGCTGTTTATTGTCTTTACTATAGATCAGCCTACAGTATTGACCATAGGTTAGACAATGGTCTTGACTATAGACTAGTCAATAGTCTTGACTATAGATCAGTCTACAATCTATAGTCTTAACCATAGATCAGTCTACAGTCGTTACTATAGATCGGTCTATAGTCTTTACTATAGATCGGTCTATAGTCTTTACTATAGATCAGTCTATAGTATTGACTATAGATTGGTCTACAGTCTTAACTGTAGATCAGTCTATAGTTTTAACTATGGATCACTCTATAGTCTTGACTGTAGATCAGTCTATAGTCTTGACTATAGAATAGTCTACAGTCTTTACTATAGATCAGTCTATAGTCTTGACTATAGATCAGTCTATAGTCTTGACTGTAGATCAGTTTATAGTCTTTACTATAGATCAGTCCACAGTCTTGACTGTAAATCAGTCTATAGTCTTGACCATAGATCATTACTATAGATCGGTCTATATTATTGATTGTATATCAGTCTATAGTCTCGACTATGGATCAATCTATAGTACTGACTATAGATCAGTAAATAGCCTTGACTATAGATCAGTATATAGTCTTGATTGTAGATCAGTATATAATCTTTACAGAAGATCAGTCTATAATCTCGACTAAGATCAGTATATAGTCTTGACTGTAGATCAGTCTATTGTCTTGACTGTAGATCAGTCTGTAGTCTTGACTATAGATCAGTCTGTAGTATTTGCTATAGATCAGTCTTTAGACTTAACTAAATATCAGTTTATAGTCTTTACTTCTTTATTTAGTCTTTATTTTAGATCAATACTATTATATAGATCAGTTGAAAGTCTTGTCTATAGAGCAGTCTACGGTCTAAATTAAAGTTCATCCTATAGCCTCAACTAAAAATCAGTCTTTAGTTTAGAGTTTGTTTATGATGTTGTCTATACATTTGTCTACAAAATGAATCATATAAGTTGTAATATGATTTAAAATTTTTAGTTTTTTAATAATAAAAAAACTATTTTCTTGTATTTGTTTCACTTATTTTCTTTCTTTTCTTATTTTCAGATATTATTTAAGTCATAATACAGCTTTAGTGAAACTTTTAAAGAAACTCGGAGCACGTCCCATTCCACAGTGGCTTAAAGATGACCTGTCAACGGGTACGTGATAGCAGCAGCACAAGTTACGTAAATTGCGTGCAAGATTAAGAAAACAATTGCAACGATTGTTAATCTTTAAGCCAACATCATTACAACTACAACTACAACAGCAACAACAAAAACCACTTGAAGAAATTCACGAAATTCATCAACAGAAGTCACACAACAATCACTATAACAACATAAACCACTATTATCATCATCAACAGCAAGAACAACATTCAGACGAACAAGATGTTGAACATGAACAAGAATACGAGGAGGAAGAAAATCACTATCAGGAACTGTCAAATAATCATCTTCATTATCAACAACAATTATATGAACAGCAGCAACAACAACAACAACATCATCATTATCATCAACATTTTAAGCGTGAGCAACAATATAAGAAAAATAAATTTCAAAAGCAGCAGCAACAACCTGAAAAGCATACTAATGATTTGTTGTCGCCAGAGCAGCAGAAATCACCACCTGGTTTGTTGAATAAGATGACAATGTCAATGATGATGATGTTGCCAATACATTTACATCCACCTACTCTTATTCCTACAACTTCAACACCAACACAATCTGTCCCTTCTGTATTATATCGACGACATCACAACAAAAATTATAAATATAATACAGGATACACAACATTATTTTAGCAGGAATTATAGACGAAACTTTGCAAAAGAAAACAACCTACAAATAAACTACCAGTTTCTGTAAGTCGAAAGAAACTGTTGATAGTAAACTCTCAATGAAAATTGCTTAAAACTTTAGACTATTTTCATTGAACTTTTCATTTAACTTACTGGAACAAATAGATGAATGGGAGTATATTTTGGATGACATTTTGGTTCGTTTGAGAACCATATTCTTTCAATATCTGGTTGTCAATTATGTTAAATATACTTCTATACAATGTAATTGAAATAATTGTAACATCTTTGATATTTCTCTTATATGATTTTATTTCAATTATTTTAAAATTTAGAAAATGTTTATATAAATTTAATACTTGCAAGAATATTAGGAGAAAACTTTATTAAATATTTTTATAATGTTTTTTAATTTTTCTTATTTAAATTTAAGTAAAATGTTTTTTTTAAATAAATTCATACCAAAATTTTATGTTATCTAACAAAATGGTGTATTTTTAAAGATTTGTTTACGATTTTTTTCAAAAAATAATAATATTTAAAACAAACACACGAAATTGTTTTTAGACGATCTTGACATATTAATTAATTCCCCAACAAACTCTATTTCTATACTCATGGTTAAGGTTTTACGGGGTCCTTTCCGAAACGGCGTGTTTAGTCTAATTCCTACAAATTTCTATAGTTTTGACTAAAGATAGTCTGTTTATAGTTTTAAAAGAGATTAATCTATAGTCCAAACTATTGATCAGTCTATAGTCTTGACCATGGATAAGTTTATAATAGACTTGACTACAAATCAGCTTATACCAGTTTTAAACTATGGATATTAATAATGTATATATCAGTCTATAGATCTAACTGTAGATCTGTCAATTCATAGTCTTAATTATACTCTAGACTAATAATTTTAATTATAGACTATTCTTGATTTAGATCAGTCACAGTTTAGTCTATAACCTAGATTAAGGATCTGTTTATAGTTTTGATTATAGATTATTCTTGACAATCTATAGACTGGCTATAGAACAATCTATAGTGTTGACTATAAAAAGTCTATAGTTTTGACTGTGAAACAATCTATAGTCTTGGCTATACAATAATCTATAGTCTTGACTATAAAACAGTATATAGTCTTAACTACAGACCAGTCTATAGTCTTGACTATAGATTAGTATATATGACTATAGATTAATCTATAGTCAAGACTTAAGAAGTTCTAAAGTCAAGACCATAGATTGCTTTATAGTCAAGACTATAGATCAGTCAATAGTCTTGGTTACAGATCGGTCTATAGTCTTGACTATAGATTAGTCTATATTCTTGAGAATAGACCAGTTTATAGTCTTGACTACAGATTAGTCTATATTCTTGACTATAGAAAAATCTATAGTCTTTACTTTAGAACAATCAATAGTCTTAACTTTAGAACAATCTATAGTCTTGACAATAGAACAATCTATAGTTTTGACTATAAAACAATCTATAGTCTTGACATTAGAACATATTTAGTCGGGATAAGTACATAGTCTATAGTCAGGACTATAGATCAGTCTATAGTCTTGTCTACAGATCGGTCTATAGTCTTGACTATAGGTCAGTCTTTATTCTTGACAATAGACCAGTCTATAGTGTTGATTATAGATCAGTCTATAGTGTTGATTATAGATCAGTCAATATTCTTGACTACAGATCAGTCTATAGTCTTGACTATAGAACAATGTTGACTTTAGAACATCTTTAGTCATTACTATAGAATAATCTATAGTCTTGACTATAAAACAATCTATAGTCTTGACTATAGATTAGTATATAGTCAAGACTATAGATCAGTCTATAGTCTTGTCTACAGATCGGTATATAGTCTTGACTATAGATCTATTTATATTCTTGACTATAGATTTCTCTGCAGTCCTTGACTATATATCAGTCTATAGACCAGTCTATAGTGCTGAGATCAGTCTTTAACCTTTACTATATATCAATTTCTGGTCTTCACTACATATAGATTAGGCTTTTTTCTTGACTAAAGAACAATCTATAGTCCTGACAGTCAGTTTAAAGTCTGACTATATATCATTCTAAGTATAGTCTTTACTGTAGATTAGTCTTCAGTCTTGGCTATAGAACTTTCTACAGTACTAACTATAAATTAGTCTATAAGGTGATCTATACTCTTGACTTTAGATCGGTCTATATTATTGACCATAGATCAATCCTTAGTCTTGACTATAATTAGATCCGTTTATAGTGTTAACTATAGATCATTCCATAGTCTTTTCTATAGTAGTCTCAACTATAGATCAGTCTATTGTCTTGTTAATACCCCGTAAAACCTTAACCAGATCGGTCTATAGTCTTGACTATAGGTCAGTCTTTATTCTTGACAATAGACCAGTCTATAGTGTTGATTATAGATCAGTCTATAGTGTTGATTATAGATCAGTCAATATTCTTGACTACAGATCAGTCTATAGTCTTGACTATAGAACAATGTTGACTTTAGAACATCTTTAGTCATTACTATAGAATAATCTATAGTCTGACTATAAAACAATCTATAGTCTTGACTATAGATTAGTATATAGCCAAGACTATAGGTCAGTCTATAGTCTGTCTACAGATCGGTATATAGTCTGACTATAGATATATTTATATTCTTGACTTATAGATTTCTCTGCAGTCCTTGACTATATATCAGTCTATAGACCAGTCTATAGTGCTGAGATCAGTCTTTAACCTTTACTATATATCAATTCTGGTCTTCACTACAATAGATTAGCCTTTTTTCTTGACTAAGAACAATCTATAGTCCTGACAGTCAGTTTAAAGTCTTGACTATATATCATTCTAAGTATAGTCTTTACTGTAGATTAGTCTTCAGTCTTGGCTATAGAACTTTCTACAGTACTGACTATAAATTAGTCTATAAGGTGATCTATACTCTTGACTTTAGATCGGTCTATATTATTGACCATAGATCAATCCTTAGTCTTGACTATAATTAGATCAGTTTTATAGTGTTAACTATAGATCATTCCATAGTCTTTTCTATAGTAGTCTCAACTATAGATCAGTCTATTGTCTTGTTAATACCATACGTCAGTTATAGTCTTGAATCTAGGTCAGTTTATAGTCAAATCTATAGATTAGTCTATAGTCTATATTTTTGACTAGAAATCAGTATTGACTAGAGATCAGCTTATAATCTTGATTATAGATTATTTATAGTCTTGACTATATTTTTATTATTTATTATTTATAGTCTAGACCGTATATTATTAGTCTATGTCTTAATCATAGATCATTTTTGGCAATTATTTGTAGAAAAACCAAGTTTTTTTAATGTATCATCTATTCATTACTAGATATTTTATAACATTTAATATAACATTTCAAATGTTTTCTTTTACAAGCAAAAATGCACATTTGAAATTAAAAGAAAAAAACAATTAAAAATTATCAAAAAGCATGTTTCCGTTACTCTGACGTTTTATTGAATTACAATAATACGATCGTAAACTAGAGAGTAAAATCTGATAGGAATTTACAACAGAAAATCACATTATGTACATCAATGTCATGTCCAGAAAAAAAAGATAATTCTCATTCAAAACAAATATTCTGCTGCATTTATATAAAAACAACATGTCAACACCATACATACGCCCAAACAGTAAATTGGATTATTTACTTATAATTAAAAACAAAAACAAAATAAATATAAATAATATAAAATGCATATAAATGAAAAAAATATAAAGTAGATTTAATTTGGTTAAAAAAAACTGCCTCATTAAATTTCCCCTTGTTTATGCATAATTTTTTTTCACTCTTAAACGCTAAATATCCTCTAGCTCTATCTACCACACCCCCCACTGCTCTCTCTCTCTCTCTCTCTTTAACACTTCAAAACAACACTTTCTCTTCCTTTACACTTCTTTAAGCATATTGTGTAAAAAACAACAAAAACAAATAAATGTAACTGTAATTATAATTCTGTATGTATGAATATGTATGTGTACAAAAAAAAAACAACAATAAATATAACAAAAACCACTTTACTTACTAATATTTTAATGGAATAGTAAGTACGACAACAAAAAAAAAAATACAAAAACAAGCTTACAAGTGGCTGAGGGTTAAAAAACAATAAAGAAAAAACAAACAGCAAATGCTTGCAAACAAAATTATTAAATATAAAATTTAATTTAAAATAAAAAAAAATAAAAACTAAATAAAATTTAAGTTAATATTGTAGATTAATGCTTGTAAATAGTAAAAGAGAGAATATGTATATGTAGCATACTAAACAAAACAACAACAAATAACAGCAGACATTTAAATTAACAAACAAAAATTATGAATAAAAACAAAACAAAATAAATAATATAAATAACTGAAGAAGAAATAATAACAACAACAATAATTAAAAAAAATTACATTATAAATGCAAATAAAATTATAATGTGTATAAATTTTCATTTAAATTTTTACTTTTTTGTGGAAAATTTATTTAAAAAAAACAGTAAGTACAGTGGCGG